TAATGAAATGTTGGAACAAGGGATCCGCCCCTCAGCCTCACCGTGGGCAAGTCCAGTGGTGCTTGTTAAGAAACCCGATGGTTCTGATAGATTTTGCTTGGATTTCCGCGCCCTGAACGATATCACAAAGAAGGATTCCTATCCCCTACCACGCATCGCCGAAAGTCTAGATGCCCTTTCTGGTACCCAGTACTTCTCCAGCATGGATCTGATGTCGGGTTAATGGCAAATCGAGATGGACCCTGAGTCTCGCGAGAAGACAGCCTTCGTTACCCACGCCGGGTTGTTTGAGTTCAATGTAATGCCATTTGGACTTTGTAATGCTCCTAGTTGTTTCCAGCGGTTGATGGAGTGCGTGTTGCGCAGTCTGAACTGGCGAATAGTGCTGATATATTTGGATGATGTACTGGTTTATTCCCGTACCTTCAGCGATCATTTGGATCATCTACGCCTAGTGTTTGACCGTTTCCGCGAAGCTGGTCTTAAACTCAAGCCAAAGAAATGTCATTTTGGACAGAAGAGCGTTAAGTTCTTGGGACATGTCTTTTCCAAAGATGGAGTGCAACCAGACCCCGGCAAGATTAAAGCTATCAAGGAGTATCCAGTTCCCTACAGAGTGAAGGACGTCCGCGCTTTCCTGGGTCTAGCCAATTATTATCGGAAGTTCGTCAAGGATTTTGCCAAGATTACTGGCCCGTTACATGACCTCACCAAGAAAGCCTTAAAGTTTTAGTGGACCGACAAGTGCCAAGCAGCCTTTGAACGCCTCAAATCCGCTCTGATCCAGGCCCCCATTTTGGCTCACCCCGACTTCACGCTTCCCTTTGACCTCTACGTTGATGCGAGCGATGAAGCTCTGGGAATGGTCCTAGGACAAGTACAAAACGGTCGTGAAGTTGTAATTTCGTACAGTTGCCGCAAATTACTGCCCGCAGAAAAGAATTATAGTGTGACAGAAAGAGAAGCCCTGGCTGTTGTCGTAGGCATCAAGTATTTCCAGCCCTACGTCTATGGCCGTATCGTACGAAAGGAAATTGAAGTTTCGAGTATAAACTCAGCTGCAAACTACCATGAGAACTAATTTTGGCCAAAAAGACCAATAACACTTATATTTACCTACGAACAACAAAAATACCGACATGCAGGTGCATGGTGGAAGCGAATAACAAGCAAACTCTATTCTAAAAGCCACTGTGATTTTTATACATTTTATTTAACTACTAAAAAGAAAAACCCGAATAAACGAATATTTCAAATGCGAAAGTGTATGAATATATATTAAAGATGTTTGCCCAAAAACCCACGAAAACCCTAAATATTATAGTTTGTGATATATATCAACAATTCACTTTTTCTGGTTATAACTTTTACAATAATGACAAAAATTTGAATAACAACAATTTGAATAGAACAACTCGTTCATCATTCCTTACCGCTCAACCGGTCGAGTCAAAGAACGAACAGAACACAGAAACTAGGTCGAAACCGGTAAAATAAATTTGAACTGTGCAGCCGTAAAATACTGAAAATTTGTCCAAAACTAAAACACATAATTTTCCCCCTAACAATGCACCTCGGAGCAGTGAATATTCCCATAATGTTGCTACAGGCAGACAACCCTGTAGGTTTGAGGCCGCGTGACGTCAGTTATTTGATACGCTAGCTGAACTCTTACATTGTTTTTAATTTGCAGCGGTCGATCTCGGCAAGACACAAGTGATCCCGAGAAATGTTTCAGAAATGCTGCAAATCATAACATTTCTTCCCTAAAATCCGCTTAATGACAGTCAGATAAATAAAATTCACTTACCTTCCTTTTTCAGTGTTGTCTCGAGTGATTTTGCGGGATTTTGGGACGGTTAATTCCCCACTTTGCACTGATGCTCCTTCAAAGGCAGGAAACATTAGCCAATCGGAACGAAGCTACTACCGACAGCTTCGTTCCGATTGGCTAATGGTTTTCCAGTTGCGGAACGGAGGTGGTAAAATAGCCTTAGGGGAGGGCTGGTTTGTACTGTCTTTCGATCGACACACTATGCACTGGTGTGGGGAGGATCGGGTGAAATCTGAGCTTGGTTAGTGATTTATTTGAATTGTAATACGGTTAATCGAAGGCTTATGATCGACCTCTTCGGTCCACATTATGTGTCGACGGCGGATGATGAGCGAATGTCGGAAATCGAGCAGGTTTTTCAGGTGGTTAAAGGCGGGAAACTGCTCTGATTTTTGGCTTGGCCCCTACACTTTTATCGACTTTTAACGCGCCCCAAGCTGGGAGGTGAGCGACGTTTGGAAGCGGAAGAAATTTGGCGAAGTTCTGGAGGCTTTCGGCCCAGACGGTCCTAGAAGTTGCACGCCTTGTTTTTCCTTTTCCTTTGCGCGCATACTTTGTGTTCTCTGTGCAATATATTCTTAAGCATGTATGAAATATTTTCATAACAATACCTCCCATGGTTATGAGAAAAGCGCTAAAACATGTTTCTGCTTTTAAAAAAATTAAAATGAATTGGATTTTCAATTAACGCCGCCCTCGTATAAATTAAACGCCGCACTCGAATCCCAAAAAATGTTATAAACGCCACGGCGTTTAATCCAATTTATAATTTTCCGCGCCTCTGATTAGCTGAAAACGATTGCATTC